TGTGTGTGTGTGTGTGTGTGTGTGTGTGTGTGTGTGTGTGTGTGTGTGTGTGTGTGTGTGTTACCAATAATGTAAGCCAGTCTGTGACAGATAAGTGCATCTTCAGAGCAAACCACACAGGAAGCAGGGCATGATGGGACAGGGGACACACGCTGGGCTCTGATGACTGACAGTGGCAACATCAGGAAAATTCCTGCAAATAAATTCACATTTTCCCCAAATAAACTCTTTATGAAAAACGACATCTTGGGAAAAAAACAACAACTTAAGTTCTTCCTTGCATAACATTAGCTTTATGCTAGCATTATGCTTTGTTTTGGGAAAAATGCCATGGCCGTATCGCTAGCTAGTCATGTTGCTAAACATACTGTACAATTTTATTTTCTATTTGAAAACCGTACGCAATGGTATTGACTTTGAATGTTGCTAGCATAACGTTAGCTTTCTGGCTCGTAACTGAGCCAAAGCTGAGAGGACTAGATATAGCCCCCGTTGGTTCGGCCTATTTACTGGAACGGTCATGGTTGTTACACGTATGAGGAAATCCTCATGTATTACCAGGGAATTTAGTTAGGCCTTGTGAAAAACTTAAGACCAAAGCTATACGCGTGAAATTATACATTAATGGTATTTTTTTTTCTTTGGCAAGTGACAGAAGAGGTAATAAGATAACAGGTATTCCTCTCAACTAGCACACAGTAAGTGGAAACTAAAAACTCTTCTCTCAACTACAGCAAGCAATGCAGGTCACTGCTACACAATGCTATCTCCCATTTAGCCTACTGTACAGTCTCATTTGTTTGCGGTGAAACTGGTGATGGAAATCCACTTTGTATATTACTTACTGGTCATGTTGTGTCACAGTAGAGGTAACATGGTGATGAGGTAGCATCTCTTCCATTAACCCGCTGCATCACTGTCATGATCTGATTGGCCAATGAAAACATATCAATACATCTTTGGAAATACACAATAATCACCTCTCTTCAGCTCCATGCAGGTACGTGTAGACTTCAGCCCCCCAGGACCCTCTGTTCATGTCCTATGTTCATAGATCAAAAGCAACAAACAATACCCCCATCATCATCATCATCATCATCATCATCACCAACTTTCCCTAAGAAATCCAAACCTATGTCTTTTTGCGTTATACAAACAGTATGAAGATACTGTTTGTATAACGCAATTAATCCCAACAGTAGTATTTTTATTCTAAAGGTCATACATTTAAATGTTCCATGTTTTGTTAAAAGTAAATGTCGTGGGCCATTATAATAAATGGTCTTGGCTAAAGATTGGCAGGAAGAGATTGTGATGTCTGTCATTTGGTCATGTGAAATTAGTTTCTAAAGATTAAAAAGAAACTGACATGAAGTCAGATGGCTTGGGCCCTTCTGGAGCCCTATCAGAGACCTCAGCGTGTCCTTGGACCAAAGTCTGCGGACCTCAGTTGTCCCGTTTGTTTACTGTTTGCTCTGAGTTGCAAGGCAAACAAACAGGGATAAATGTGTTGGCAATGAACTGACATGTGTGTAGTTCGGTGGGGGGGTATGAGGTTGTCCCCATAGGATGCAGACTGATGGAGGACAGCCAGTCTTTGTAGC